AAGATCAAGGGTTGCATGCTTTTCTGACTGAGCCAGCCAGGCGCCCCGGGAATTAACATTTTTGAGTACTAGCAAGGGTCAAAGGCTTTGTAATGGACTGAAATGTGTCTGCCCCTACCCCAATTCATATGTTGACAGTTCTTACCCCAATATGACTGCATTTGGAGATAGGACCTGGAGGGAGATGATTAAGGTTAAAGGAAGTCATGAGGATGGGCCTTAATCCACTAGGACTGATGCCCTAGAAGAAGAGGAAGAGACACCAGAGATCTCCTTCTTCAGGAACAAGGAGAAAAGGCCATTTGAAGATACAGCAAGAGGGCATAATACCAGAAATCAACCATGACAGCCCCAAGACCCTGAATTTCCAGCCTCTGGAATTATGAGAAAGCAATTTAAAAAAAAATTCATGAGAGACATGGAGACAAAGGCAGAGACATAGACAGAGGGAAAAGCAGGCTCCTTGCGGGGAGCCCAATTCGGGACTTGCTCTCAGGACCCAGGGATCATGCCCTGAGCCAAAGGCAGATGCTCAACCACTAAGCCACCCAGGTGCCCCTCAGTTTTTGTTATTTAAGCCACAGACTGTGGTATTTTTTCCCCTCCAGACTCTGTCCTGCCCTAGTGTGTGGCGTAACAGCCAGAGCACAGGAATACATGATTCCTTAACATGATCTTTTAGGTTCTCGCCAATCTAAGGTAGGAATTGTTATATGTCTTTACCAGTGAGAACACCGAGGGATAAACAAATAGCTTAACAGTATCCAGGTATTACATGGTGAATGTGGCTAAACCTGTGGGCCTTTCCGATTGTGGTGTCTCCTGGGTCCACCACAGGCAGTGACCTCTCTATGACTACAGCCAGGGGTCTATACTTTCCATGTTCATCGTGCTCAAACTATGAGCAGCATTTGATACAGGAATTCACTCCCTCTCCTGAAAATCTGGCTTCCAGAGTCAGTACTCGATGGTGTTGGTCCTATTTCTTTGATGGTTCCTTTCTCAGGTGTGTTTACTGGTGTCTCTGCATCTCCTTGACACTACACTTTGGAGAATCCCAGGGCTCAGTCTTCCTGTTTATCTGAAAACACTGCCCAGGTGATCTCAACCAGGCTCATGGTAATTGCTACAGCCTCCAAACTGGTTTTCCTGCTTCCACACTTGTCCCACTAAGGTGACACACCAGCTAAGGCATCTCTGTTAAAATAGGAGTCAGATCATGTCATTCTTTCACACAAACCCCTTCAAAGACTCTCCTCCACCTCAAAGGAAAAGCTAAGGTCTTTATAGTGGCTCAGAAAGCCCTTTGCTGTGAGCACCTCTAGCTCCTAGGCCTCCATCGTTTCGCAATTTCTCTCTGGCCTGATCGGTCACTACTCTTTCTTTTGCTCACTCACTCCAACTACATAAGCCAGTCACGTTTCTGCCTCAGGGTCTTTGCACTTGATGATTTCCCTGGTGATGCAGATGTTACCTTATCCTTGGGGGCATCCTTATCTAAACTGCGGATCATGCACTCTTCCAGTACTTCCTAACTCCCTTTCTTCATTTAGATTTCCTTTAGCCCATACTGTTGCCTAACATACCATATATTTTACTTATTTATCTACTGTATTGCCCTTTTCTTCCCTTTAGAATATAAACTCCACAAGGACAAGGATGTCTGTCCTTTATTTTCACTTTTCTACCCCCAAAATCTAGACTAGGGTGTGGCACACAGAAGACACTCAATGAGTATATGCTGAATAATTGAAAGAACCAGACCAGGTTGCCTCACCCAGAGATAATTGCTAAGAATGAGAAAGGTTTTGTACGAAGAATCCCAACAACTGCCTACATCTCACACAGAAACAACAACAAAAATTTACCATAAACCACTAACAGAGAGGATTAAACGAAATTTTTAAAACTAACAGATATCGTAGATTCTTAAGTATTGCAATAAGCTCTCAAGAAAACCAGCCAAATCCCTGAAGACCTTAGAACATAGAATAGTTTCTAGATTTGCTGATATTTCCCACTGCTGTGTGTAAAGGCAAGAGGAAGGATCGACTGGCTTCTCCTGGTCTTCCAGGCCCACACGCCTACAACCAAGAGAAATATATTCCTTTTTTTTTTTTAAGATTTTATTTATTTATTCATGAGAGACACACAAACAGAGAGAGGCAGAGACACAGGCAGAGGGAGAAGCAGGCTCCATGCAGGGAGCCCGACGTGGGAACCCATGGATCCCAAGAGAAATATATTCTTTATCTGACCTTTGTGCCTCTAAATATTCAAATAAAGCATTCTTACATGCATGGAGGATTTTATAGACAACAAATAGCTTCATAAGACCAATTCTGTTTTTATTTTTTTATTACAGATTTTTTTTTAAGTTTATGTAAGCAATCTCTACACCCAGCATGGGGCTCAAACTCACAACCCTGAGATCAAGAACCCCATGTTCTACCAACTGAGCCAACCAGACACCCTATTTCTGTTTTTATAAAAAATACAGCAGAGGGATGCCTGGGTGGCTCAGCGGTTGAGCATATGCCTTCGGCTCAGGGCATGATCCTGGGATCCCGGGATTGAGTCCCACATTGGGCTCCCTGCATGGAGCCTGCTTCTCCCTCTGTCTGTGTCTCTGCTTCTCTCTTTGTGTCTCTCATGAATAAATAAATAAATATTTTTTAAATACAGCAGAGTTGCCTATAAAGATTATTATACATAATACATTCATAGGCTGGCATGAATCAGCTCCCTTGGGGAAATGTCATAATTTTTATTATGTCTCTGAATATTACTGACATCTGTTTATATAGCTCTCTTCAGCGGAGCTAATGATGGAATGAAGAGGCAGTACTTACCTGGATTTTGTAAGTTAAGATATAGAGTGAGATACCATAGGTGAAAATGTTTTGCCTAGTAACGGAGGAATCTAAGTTAGGATTGACTCCAGGGGCGCCTGGGGGCTCAATCAGTTAAGCATCTGACTCTTGATCTCAGCTCAGTTCTTGATCTCAGGGTTGTGGGATTGAGCCTTGAGTTTGGGCTCCATGCTTGGGTGAGGCACTTCCTTAAAAAATTAAAATAAAATAAAATAAAATAAAATAAAATAAAATAAAATAAAATAAAATAAAATAGGATTGGCTCTCATGTGTCCGGAATGATTAACTTCAGTTTCCTCTGCAGGGGGGCTGAATGCGTTAAACGATGCTAGTGGCTTCTCAGTCATACATTTCACTTCCAGAACCATGATCTCTAGGCTGCTGTTTGGAAACTCAGGTGACAGATACATGAATCTGACTCACAGTACTCTTAGACCTGGAAGGGGCCTCAGAGATCACCCAGCTTTCCAAGTCAGGAGATGTGACCTTAAGACACAGAGCAACTTGACCCATGACCTACAGGTTAGCTTGTGGCCAGGCTGACATTAGCATCTCATTCTTCCAGACTCAGACTGGTCTGAGTTAGACTAGTCTGAGTCTCTTTCCCTTGTCCCGTGCTGCCAGGGAAACCCATCCACACTCCAACCCATCACGAAATGAGCATGGCCCTACCCGTGACAGTACCATTTCTTAGGAGGCACTGCACTGTATTTAAACAGATCATACGGCTTTGGGAAACAATGGACACAGCACTGGAATGGGGACTGGCACTTGAGAAGCATTGCAAAAGTGACCAAACCCTCATCATGAAGAGCGGACTGCAATTAGACCTGGCACGTTGCTCCTCCATTGAACCGAACTGTGACTCTAAAAGTCATTGCCTCACACCTGTCACTCTGACTCTTGCTCTGAACACACATATTAACATCTGCGGCTCTCGGAAGACACTTCTGGTTACAATGGGTAATAACACCTACAAATTTTATTGGTTTCTTGGCACAGAGGAAGAAGTCGAATAACAGAATCATTCTTTAGATAAGAACACGTGAATGTTTCCTACATCATAAGTCTGTTTTCTGTTCAGTTATATATAAAGCCATCTGGTAACAGAGAGAATGTTTGAAAATTCGCCTAAATTAACCCGAAATGTTGCATTTAATGCCTTTGGGGCTTCAAATTTTTTAATTTCACATTATAATACATGGCGATCAAGATAAAAGTAATACCTCTCTTATACATCTGCACATTTTGAAGTCAGGGTACACAAGCATATAATTCACATAGCAAGACACATGCTTTGCTAACATGCTGGTAATGCTTCGGAAACACAAGAATGCGAGAGCAGAATCAAGTTCCTCCAAGCAACTGAGGGTACAATCACTTACCGCATTGTTTTGTCAGGCATGTATGCCAGCACATGAATATTCTAGCGCTAATAAATGATATTCAAAGGAGGGCTCATAAATCTGAATATGACTTAGAATCCTATGCACTAGATGCATAGCTATTGCATTAATGTTTCATGTGTGCAAGGAAGGCACACCAAAATGTTAAAGGGCTTCATTGGACATCAAGTGGTAATGTATACGTTAGTGATGAAAATGAAAACAAAAGCTGGAAGTAAAAAAGACACCTGGATTCTTTAAAAGAAAAACAGATTTGAGTACAGGCGTTTTCAAATGCTTTGGTGACTAAAGCTAAGCAACTGTTAAGAAACGATCAGCAAACCGTGGGGCAGCCTCTGACTCTTGATTTCAGCCCAGGTCATGATCTCGGGGTCGTGAGATGAGCCCTGGACCAGGGCTCAGTGGGGAGTCTACTTGAGATTCTCTCCCCCCCTCTCTCTGCCCTGTCCTCCACTCATACTTGCTTTTTCTTTTTTCTCTAAAATAACTAAATAGGGCAGCCGGGATGGCTCAGCGGTTTAGCGCCACCTTCAGCCCAGGGCGTGATCCTGGAGACCCAGGATCGAGTCCCACATCGGGCTCCCTGCATGGAGCCTGCTTCTCCCTCTTCCTGTGTCTCTGCCTCTCTCTCTGTGTCTCTCATGAATAAATAAATAAAATCTTAAAAAAAAAATAAAATAAATAAATCTTAAAAAAGACAAAAGGAAACAACCTGCAAATCTTGATATGATGGTAACAGTTTAATGATTTACATTTCAAGGCAATGGTAATGAAGTCTATACCACTAATAATCACTTGGAAGATGACAGTGATAAATTACAATTGTACAGGGACGCCTGGGTGGCTCAGCAGTTGAGGGTGGCTCGGAGGTTGAGCATCTGCCTTTGGCTTGGTTGTGATCCTGGGGTCCTGGGATCGAGTCCCGCATCAAGCTCCCTGGAGGGAGCCTGCTTCTCCCTCTGCCTATGCCTCTACCTCTCTGTCTCTCATGAATAAATACATTTTTTAAAAATCTTAAAACAAAAAAGAAATTCTTTAAAAAATTACAATTGTATATATTATGACAGTTTAGGGATTTGTATGAATTGTAAGAAAAATGTCTTTTTCTTTAGGTTTAATCTTATTCAGGTCAAATAAGAAATTTTCCACTTGTAGGTTATCTCTGCCCCAGCCTTTGTTTTATATTTGCAAATGGATGGACTGCTTTAGTTTGAAGACAAAAGTGAAAGGAGTAACATTCTGAATTTATATCTTCACACACTTTCCAATGTAAACACATACATACCCATTACAGAATCCTATTTCTATCAGCCCTATAGAATACTAGCAGAATTCCATGGGATCCCAGGATTTCCATGCACATGGTTCAAGGAATCCCATATAATATATGTGTGCCTACTTTTATTTCTGGAACTACCAATTTATCAGGATGATTGTGGCTCCAACTAATTTTTTTTTTGGCTCCAACTAAATTAAATGTGCTCTACTCACATACATATTAAGTCCTGAGGTAGGAAAAGCTATAGAGTCATTGAATCTGGCAGCTTAATAAGATCATCAAAGACTAGAATTATTTCCATCTTTCCACTCAGCTGTTCCTTGCATGTGGGAGCTTCCTCCATGGTCACAAGGTGGCTGCAGCAGCTCCAGACATTGCATTCCTTCTATCCTCAGACAATAACAACCAAAACCTAGAAGAGAAAGCAAAGATGAAACCTCATCTTCTGTTCCTTTCTAAGAGTGAGGAAAACTATCCCAGATGCTTCACTCCAATCAGACTTCCCTTTATAGAGCTGAAAAATTGCATTGTGTGTTCACTCCTAAACTAACTGCCAGAGAGGGGAGCAGACTGATCATCACTGGCTTAAATAGGTGATTCTAACACTAGCATCACTTGGAGAGTTTTCAAAAACAGTCAAGCTCTAGACCAAGTAACCAGAATCTCTGGAGGGGACCCTGAGCATCAGTATTTTTACAGAGCTCCTCAGAAGATTCCGATTAACAGTAATGACACCTGTTAGAGTGGCTACTATCAAAAAGACAGAAAATAACAAGTGTTGGCAAGGATACAGAGAAAAGGGTACCCTCATGCGCTGCTGATGGGAACGTAACTTGACACAGCCACCATGGAAAACAGTATGGAGGTTCCTCAAAAAATTAAAAATAGAACTACCATATGATCCTAAGCAATTCCACTCCTCAATATTTATCCAAAAAAAAAATGATGTCAGCTCAAGAAGGTATATGTACCCCTATGTTCATTACAGCATTTTCACAATAGACACAATATGAAAACAATCTGGTGTTCATCAGTTGATGAATGGATAAAGAAATTGTGGTGTATGTATACGTATACACACACAGGAATATTAGCCATAAAAAGGAGGAAATCTTGCCATCTGTGACAACATGGCCGGGCCTTGAGAACACGTGTTAAGTGACATAAATCAGAGAAAGACAAATACCATCGAATCCCACTTATATGTGGAATCTGGAAAAAAAAAAAAAAAGCAACTAAAAACAAAAAGGCCCTAGATAGAACAGATTGGTGGTTGCCAGAGGTGGGTTTGGGAGTTGGGAAAATGGGTGAAGGTGTCAAAAGGTACAAAATTATAAAAGTTATAATTTATAAAAGAAAGAAGTCATGGTGATAAGATGTACAACATGGCAACAATCATTAGTTAACACTCTATTGCATATATTTTTTAAGAATTTTATTTTTATTCATGAGAGACACAGAGAGAAAGGCAGAGACACAGGCAGAGGGAGAAGCAGGCTCCCACCACTGGGTGGCTCAGTGGTTGAGCATCTGCCTTGGGCTCAGGCTATGATCTTGGGATCCAGAATCGAGTTCCGCATCGGACTCCTTGCGAGGAGCCTGCTTCTCCCTCTGCCTGTGTCTCTGCCTCTCTCTGTGTCTTTCATGAATAAATAAATAAAAGCTTAAAAAATATATATTGCCTTAAAAATGCTCTATTGCATATTTTGAAAATCCCTGGGAGTGTAGATCTTAAAAGTTGTCATCACAAGACAAAAAAATGTGTATGCATGGCTAGACTCATGGTGGCCATCACTTCGCAATACATACAGAGATCAAATCAGTATGTTGTGCACCTGTTGTGTCTATTATACCTCAAGATAATAATTAAAAAAAAAACTCCTGAATGAAAAAAGAAGGCAGGGAGAATCAGTGAGAAGTCTAGTTCTTAGATGAACCAATCCTCATCCCCTTGGGTAAGGGAGGGACCCAGGCTTTCTTGAAACATGTTGCCTGATAATTAAACAAAATCAGAGTTCTGTTATCAAGGAAGTAGGGAAAGAATAGTTTTGTTAAGTTGACTATGGAGTTGCATAGAAGATTGAAGAACTAGCTGGAGCTGTAGAAGCACCTGTTGCTGATCCACACTATAAACACTGAAGATGATTTTCAGTTTTCAAGTCACAAGCGGTCTGCTGCATAATTATTGGTCGTTAAAGAAAATGAATTCTTTCTTGTCTCTTTAGGCTCAGAGCTACTCAGACATTGAGAAGCAGGTTTATCAAGATGACAGAGGACCAAGGTAATGGATTCCAGTGATGAAACAGGAAGTTCATTCATGAGTTTTGGGCACACCTCCAAGTTGTCTGCGTAGCCAGAAAAGGAATAACTCCATTTCCCTACTTCTGTTTCATTATCCTCAATGAGAATGACCAAATATGAGACTAGACGGGTCCCTAGGGAGAATACGGCTCCCATCCTACCCCATCCTGCCAACCTGCCACCCACGTTAAGATTTTTAAAAGCAGAGGTACAGAGAAGTTATGTAATTACTAGAGATTATATAGGGAGCCTGTGGCAAAAGTAAGTTCTTTTCTCCACTTTTCTCCAGTCCTGTTTTTGGTGCTTCCTCTTACGATTTCAGCATTTCTCTGATGGCAGTTCTGTGTGTCTAAACTGAATGCCCTGCCAGCGGTGCTAAATAAACAGGATTTCTCCTTAACACTCAGTTTTCTAAAGGAACACAGGGGGGCAGCAAATGTTTAGGAAAAACTTCCAGCTCTCTCTACCATGTAGGCTATACATACATTTGGAAAATGTTTGGAAGAGAGATTTTTCTGGGGAGGGGGGTCCTTTATTTGATGGCGTTGAAGTTGCTTCTGGTTCCTGTGTTTCCATGTGGTACTGGGGATTTCAGAGAAAGTGGTGGTCACCATGATTCGATTTTGCTTCCAAATGTGCCACTGCCAAGAGATTATCAAGAGCACCCCTTATAAATGGAATGTGTCTTCTTCAGAATGTTTAATATTGAACCATACCTTCTTTAAAGATATTCATGAAATTTGATGTCACATGAACTTTAATTAGTTGAATTTACTGGTGAAGATCTCCTCCAGCTGCTATCATAACCCATTTTAATTGTGATGATCACTGATGAAACAAACATGCCCTATTGGCAGGTACTTCTATTTTTTTTAATTTTTTTTTTTACTTTCCTGCTCATTTAATGTTTTCTTTCTATTTTCACTTGTCTCTTGTCACTCTCCAATAATTCCCAAATAGTGGCTCCAGAGCGATTAGTCTTGCTTTCCTGCCATCCCTTGTTACTAGCTGTGGGGTTCAAATGCTAGACTTGTGTGCTATAGGATATGAAGCATGTGTCCATATAGGATATGGACAAGGTTCAAGACACACTGATGAGACAGGTAACTGCAGGCATTGTCAGACTAGAAGTTTCTTACGTTTTTTGGTTTTCTTCTAGGTTTCAGTGGAGGTTGAGCTCATTTGTGGGAAACAGTCACCAACAAAACATCAACATTAGATCCAAGAGACGTCTCTCTAGCACCACCAGAATCAGGGCCTTGAAGGTCATTTCTATCAACACCAGACATTCCTTACCTGCAATTAACAATGGATACATTGGTCATATTTAATCCCAATGCCTTTAAAGCAGGTTCAATACTTAGGTTTACAAACATTTAGTCAAAAAGGTATTTGAATCAGACCTTGAATCTGGAGCACACTCTAAGACACAGTACCATGGACTTACTCAGTAGGGAACAGGTGTGGTGAGGGAAAGGCCAGGAGTCTGGACATCTAGTCCTGACTCCCTAGGCTCCCAACAAGCTGAATGGTGTTGGGCTCAGTTCTCATACCAGTACTGGACTCAGAATACACACACCTGTGGTGAAGGGTATTATGATGAGAGCTTTTAAAAGGATCTAAAATTCTTTGATTTGGATTGTTTCCTCCCTTGGGATAAAACTGTGGAAAGCATCTTGAATCCCCTCTCTTTGGGAGGTTTGAGCCAGGCTGCTGTTGAAAATCACAAGTCAGATTGTTCCTATCTACTGTTGGCATTGAGACACACCAGAACTGCCAAAGCCAAGGAAATCCTATTGTTTAAAGAAGTTTTGCTTTGTTAGCTTCTCTTTCTAGCAGTAAAAGAAAAAGAAAAAGAAAAAGAAAAAGAAAAAGGTGCTGAAAATCTTGTCAATATCCTGGGGGTTTTTTGTGTAAATATTTGAACACAATAAGAATGTGTAAGCTAGGTATGTATTTTCTTACATGTTTTACTTAACCCGAATTTTATATAAAGTTGCTTAAGTGCTCCAACAATGAAAGGAGAGAATACGTATTTAAAGAGTTTTTAGGTTTTATTCCTTTATTCATACACTTGAGAGGTACCTCCAGCTGTAGTTTTTAAATTTAAAAATTGTACGATAACTGGAAATTAAAACCAGCCAACTGCTATTGTCTGACTCTTGGTTCAAAAAAGTGTCTTAGTCGATTTTGCTTTTAAAAATTCCTGAAGCAAATGAAAACGAGTTTTCCAAAATGAGAAATAAAATATTTAAAGTGAAGACCACAGTTAACTTAGTATCCCATAACTTTGGTATTTTAAATAGCAATTCTCAAAGAGGAGGGTCAAGTCAGAAAGGGACAATTTATACACATAACTATGTGTATAAAGTTATGTGTATAACTATATAAACTATGTGTATATAGCTATGTGTATAAATTGTCAGGTTCTGGTGTTTGTTTGCAATCGCTTCCCAAGAAAAAACTTCCTCTCCATTTTTTTCAGCACCACACTTCAAAGGAAAACTGCATAATTCTTACATCCACAACACAGGGCTGAAATGATCCAATTAGAAAGGTCGTACCATTCACATTGTAAGATTGAGAAAAAATACATTTTGAGTTTGGAAACAGATGAAGAGACGGGTACCACGTCAATTTTCTTAAAAACCTCACACACTTGATCCGGCCTTGCTAAGTTACCACCTAAATTCCCAACGCCACTTGCCATGTGGAAATAAATACAGGAAAAGACAATGCCATTTGAACGACACCTCTCTCCAAGTTTCCAGAGCCATGTGAAGTATTTTGCAAAGAAGAAAAAAAAAAAAAGCATGATTTCCAAAAACATTTCTTTTCCTTAGACTCAAGAAGCAAGATACATACATCTTTGATTCTGGAATATGCCATTGGAAATCCAGAGGTAGCTGGCCTGTTATTTGGAGATCCCTGAGAGGCAGCCTTGTACAGTCTCAGAACACGCACAGCAGAGCACCCTCCCCGTGCTTGCAAAGCTTCCAGCCAGCCACACGGGAGAAGCAGTAAGGCCCTATTATTAGGAAATCGTAAGAGATTAATACATGGAAGCCTGATGGGTTTTAATGGCAACCGAATTTTGCTCTTTTAAAGTCTGTGGTCGCGTGGGAAAAACAGCAGTGGAATCTAGTGGTTGAGCCCATCACCGGGAACTTCCTTTAGGAAGGCAGAAGGGCCAAGCTTAGCGATCTCCACTTTCTAAAATGAGGCTTTGGGGATCCCTGGGTGGCTCAGCGGTTTGGCGCCTGCCTTTGGCTCAGGCCGTGATCCTGGAGACCAGGGATCGAGTCCCACATCGGGCTCCCTGCATGGAGCCTGCTTCTCCCTCTGCCTCTCTCTCTGTGTCTTTCATATGAATAAATAAATAAAATCTTTTTTAAAAAATAAAACGAGGCCTTAAACTCCTATTTCTAAATTAAAGGGACAAATCCTTGAGAACAGTACAGCCCGTTGTGCCATTAGGCGACTAAAACAACCTGAACGGCCCCGCAGCCCGGTCTGAGTCCCCCGGGACCGCGGAGCTCTGGGCAGCGCGCAGGGGGAGCGCATTTGGGCGGCCGCGCAAAGGGAACCGGCCGAGCCCTCGCACCGCCCCGGCTCTGCACGCGGGAACTTTTGAGGCTTCCTCCCCAGACTTTCTGGAGACTTGCATCAGTTTAGGAGACTCTCTGTCTCCACCAGCCCCTAGATTCTGAATAGGAAGGAGCCCCATCAGCTCCCCGCCCCCGGCACCCCCCCCCCCCCGGGCCGCCTGGGTTTGGCGCCATCCCCCCTCCCGCGGCCCCCGAGCCCCCGGGGCGCCCCAGCTCCGGCCCCACTTCCCCAGAGCAGGACCTTTCCGCAGCCCCAAATAATGGGGGCGGCGGAGAGCCCGGGCGCCCTGCTCGCCGTGGCCCCTCCGCGCCGCCCACCTGTTGTCTCAGAAACCGCCCTTCCTAAGGAAAGACGCAGGTGGCCGGAAGGGTGACCAGGCCCCAGCCGAGGCGCGGCAGGGCACCCGGGCGTGCACCCTTCTCTAGATTGCGCGGCCCGAGGGGCAGCCGCGTGGGGAGCCCCGAGGGCAGGGCGCGCTAACCCGCGGTGCCAGCTGCCACCGGGATCCGGGCGCGCCCGCCGGCCGCCGCAGGGAAGGGCGCCGAGCCGCTGCACCCAGCCGAGCTAACGTCCTTTAGGTCCAGGTCCGGGCAGCTTGCCCTAGGACCGGGCCGGCGGGGGGTAGGGTGGGGTGGGAGGGAGGTGGGGAGTCCGAGGGCCGGGGCGACTGGTGCGCACCCGTTCAGCAGACTTCACCCGATGGCTTTGGGGGCAGGATGGAGAGGGGGGAGCTTGCACTCCCCCAGTGCAGGAAGAAGTCGCCGGATGGAGGGTAGTCGCGGTCAGATTCCCAGGACGAGTTCCAGACACGTGGCCTGAGCCAGGGAGACCGAGGCACCTAGCAGTGTCCCCGGAGCTGGGGCGAGGTGCCTAGCAGTGTCCCAGGCGCTGGGGCGGGAGGGAGAGAGAAAAAAAGGTAGATAGAGAAGGAAAGACTCCAAAGAAAAAAAGAAGCTCAGAGGTTGAGCTATCAAGTTCCATCTGGCCCCAAGCGAAACCCAGGTGCGGTTCTAAACTGTACCCCACCGAAGCGGCCGCCGCCACCGAGAGACGCAGGCGCAGGGGGGGAACGTTGAGTTTGCAGGCTCTTGTCTCTCGCAGCGATGTTGAACTTGTTCTTAAGTTGGTTGATTCCGATGCAGGGCAGGTTGCTTGCGAGCTTTACACCTCTCCGCACCTAAAACCGAGACACCCCCTGTGTTCCCAAAGGATGAGCAGGTAAAAGCCGGGGGGTGGGGGTGGGGGTGGGGGTGGGGTGGCAGCTTTGCACAAAGACAAAGAGGAATAGCTGCGGACTGGCAAGTCAGCACCCACACCCCCACTCCGCCTCGAATGCAGGCACTAAGTTCCCTAGGTGAGTGGTTCCCAGATATTTGAGCGCCTGCTCCTGTCAGCCGGAAGGGCTGGTTCCAGTACTGATTGCTGGGCCTCACCTTCAGGGGTTTCAGCACAGCTGAAGTGGTGCCTAGGAATCTGCATTTCTAATAAGTTCCCGGATGATGTTCATCTTGCTGTCCTGCAGACCACCCTTTGAGAACCACTGCCCTAAGCCACTGGTTCTCAGATTTGGCTGCACAGTGCCATCACCTGGGATACTTTTAAAAATATTGACACTTGGGTCCTAACCTCCAAAATTCTGATTCCATTGATTTGGGGCGCCACTTGGGCATCAGGATCTTCAGACCCTTTAGGTGATTCTAGTATAGAGCAAAGGTTGAACAACACTGCCCTAAGTCATTTACTGTCCCAAGACGATTTGTGTGTGTGGGGGGGGGGGACAAGGATTTTCTCCTTCCCTGCTCATCTGCTAGCATTGGACCTAGCTCCCCCGTCTTAGGAAAGAGTAAGTCCTTCACCTTACAGATGTTTTGCACAGTGATGCAAGCACGATGTTGACTCTCTGTTTTCATGAAATATACAGGAATTAAAAAGGATGAAACAATTTCCCCCAAGGCCTTCAAGATACACATGACAGCTTAACACTGATAATTCTGCTTCCCCCAGTTCAGAATATCCCACTAGGAGCCAAAGTCATCTCTCCGGGTTAGTGATTGCTCGCACCATGGAGCCCAAGAATCCCAGATCTAAGCTAGATCACAGGCACTTGGATATAAATTGACCAGATGCTGTCCTGCTATGTTAATGTTGGTTGCAGGGGAAATTGCACCCTTGGCTGAGGCCGGGGTGGGGGGTGGGTGTTACCGGATTTGGAGGATCACCTGTGCTAAGCCCAAACTCTGGTTCTATGGTGAAGTCGTGAATTACCGACAGCGAGACTAGAAAAGCCTTCACAGTGGAAGGGAAATGGGAGGGTGGGTGACGGTGGGAAAGCTGCCCTCTTTGCCCTTCCAACAGCGACACAAGGGGCAGGGAGCACCCACCTGCACCCCAGAGGAAGCCCCCAGAGGTACTCTACCCGGCATAGATTTGGTTGCCTGAGGGATTTATCACCTCATTCTAGACCAGCCAAGGATGGAGATATCCCAAAGGGACTGGACACCCACTGGGGTTGATTAGACCTTCCCAATGCTTTTGCACCCCTCCCCCAATTTCCAGACCAGTTGGTCTGTACTGCCAGAGCAGCCCTTAACCACAGCCTCCTTAGCAACCAGTATTGGGGGGGTGGAGGCACCATGGGGGTTAAAGGGAGCAAAACTGTCCCCCACGAAGACTGTCCTGTGAGTCCT